TCCTGTAAATGAAGTACTCCCTACACTGGTCTGCAGACCTGCACTAGACACAGCTCATTATGCTTCGCTTTTAGAGCTGCCCATCTTGACTGTGAGGAGAACATGGCGCATTACTTAGATGGTTAAGTAGTGACGGATCATATCAGAAATGTTGATAAGTACTGCTAACAAAACTCATTTTTACAAGGTGGTTTTGAAGCTTGGAGTGTGGGGATTTTCGGATTCTCGTCTTGATGGCACAATCTAATAAGTGTATGCTTAAAATGCGCGCAAATCAGAATGATGCACGATGAAACAACAGACAGGGTTGCTGAGGGAGTTTTGCTTCTTTCTTTTAGCGTTGCGTAAGTGAGTCGCAAATTGGGACAACCTGGGGCAACGACGGCATGATTCACGAAATCGGCAAGGGTTGCGTAATTCATCGGGGCCTTTTTATTTCAATTTCCTCATTTCGACCGTATCTTGGCAAGAATGGAGTTCGTAAAGGGGATGAAATGACCAGCTCTAACTTTTCTCATATTTTGCTTATTCCCATGCTTTTTTTTCCATAATGACTAAATTTTGGTGACTTACCTCGGCCTGCCATTGCAGCATCACATCATCGGAACACCACGATACAAAGATACATACTCTATAAAGTTATTCGCGACAAATGGACGCGGCAATGCAGAAGAAGCATAGATTTCAACAATTGTAAAATGAAGGGTAGAGGATATAAAAACAGGAATGCTCATTTGTGGCCAGGTTTTGACCAAATTTTGTGGACTTTATATATAATTACTGATTTTCACTACAAACCAAAAAAGTGCGGTGATCTTGAAATCGTTCTTCTGATTGAGGCGACTTTGATGAAAGTCGACTATTGAGTGATCGTATTCTGTGACTGGATGGGCAGTTTAGGAGCGGACGGAGAATGGACTGCCATTTGTTCGATCTCAGCCATGCACTCCCTCTTCCGCTGCTTGTAATCAAGTCGACTGTCCGCCTGCCGGGCCAGCAAGATATGGACTCTTCACGTGTGAGTAACTACGGCAACCACCTGAAGGAGCTTGTATTCTGCTCTGGTGCCTCGAACCCCTCTACATCACCCTTGCCGTCATCAGCGTTATCATCTTAGTAAATTGTCCTTCTATGAGGGTAGGCTGAGAGGGTCCGACCTGCCCGTGTGTGTGCTTGTAAGATGAAACTGGACAGCAGTCTTCTTTCAAGACCATTCGTAGAGGCGCCGGCTAAAATTATCAGAATGTGTGAACCAGCAAGTCACAAATCCTCATCGGCTGAGTTAATTAGAGTTGAACGTCTCAATGCGCATTAGGCAAACGAAGACAAGGCTTCTTCCACTCCATCAACCACCAATATGCATTTCGACTCGGCTTGTCATTACCAATTTTCACAACGGCTGCCACAACTTGCCATACACTGTCATGCGGGTTAAATTGAAATTGCAAAATTATATTGTGTTTCGTTAAAAAAAACAGAAAAACTACAAATACGCAAAAATCACTGCTTTTTGTTAGCTTAGAGCGTGGTTCTGTCGGCCGAGAGAATTAAACCCCGGTTTCAACTTCCCTCACCCGCCCATCCACCTTCAGTACTTGGGTTGACTGCTCGAACAGCCTGTAGCGATGACTTGTGAATGCCTTTGATCTTCCTCTTTCCACCGGAACGACTATGTGTACGCATGGGATGCAGAGAGGTTTTAAAGAAGACAACTGAAATACGCTATTTTGTTACCACCTCGGATCGACTAAGCTAACATTTTACTGCATACATTGTGAAGCTTTACATTATTACCTTATAATCTACACTGCACCACACTACAAATCTTCAAATACAGAACTGACATGACGCTTTTAACAGCTCAGGAGATGTAGATGGCACGTAATACATCGTGAAAATAATCAAGTGTAGTTAGTGTTCCCTTAGGTGACTTTAAACGACAAGACGACAACTTCAATACACCAGGGGGCTGTTAAAGGAATAAACAGAGGAAGAGAAGTAAGAATGGTGCACTAATTGGCATTCGGATGAGCATCTCCACGGGCTGTAAAGTCGCCGAACACTAAAGAATTTGAGCAGTATGTATTCCAAATCTTTTGGGAAGAGTTCTTCTCTTCTTTCATGTTTCATTAATTAATGCTTAAGTTTCACTGTCATCTTCTGAAGTCATTAGCAGCCTTGCGCGATTGTTCCTTATCAAATAGTCAAGGAATTTCACTTACCTATCAACACTTGACTATTAACTATTATTATTCTTATTAACTATTAACTATTATTGCTGCTTTGAAATACTCGATCCTCTCCTAATGGCATTGCCATCTGACAGGCAATCAGACGCCATGCTCCGTTGGTTAGCTTGGTGGAGAGGAGACACTGACTTCAATCTATTTGGCGATTGATAGTAAATCGGTGGAATGCGTGCGCGAC